CATTTAGTAAATAATGATATATTTTTATTTTTTAACATCCGTTTTTCAGGTAATACCGCATCCACGTGTGTAAATTATCACAATGTTTTTCCTTGATTATTGTTTGAACAACTATTGACTATCAAAATATGAAGATTGTAGATATTTATGCACCACTTTGGAAGTTACAGATAGGTTTCTGAGGCACACTTGTTAAAAAAATATATATTGAGAAAAACCCCCTAAATAATAATATCTTCCAAACAAAATTGTTCACACAATTTTTTTTGGTCAAAAAATTTAAGTTAATAACTGTTTTTTTACATGGATGATCACAAAAATATATATAGTGCATGTTCTTTTTTTTTTTTAATAAGGTCTGAAAGTCAGTGTTTTTTCACATTTCCAAAAATGACAAAAACGGTAAAATTTACATAATGGGTCGTTGCCATGACAACGAAGGCAAAAAAATATAAACAAACGCCAATGATATGCTATTTACCCAAGTATCTATTCATTGTAAAATTTAAGAGGAATCCATTTGTTTACATCTGCCACCAAATCCTTGATTTTTTGTGGACAACCTTTCTTAATATCTTCAGAATATCAATATAATGTTAATATTATATATATTACTGTATTTAACTCTTAAAATGTGATTAGATGATTGAAAAATAATACACGATGAACAAGACCGTTTCAATGAAATATTTATTGAAGGAATATCCGTTTTATACTAGCAAGACTATAGGCCTAGATGTGCTTTTGTTTGAAGAAAAAATCATCTTCCAGAATTTAGCAATTTTTCCAAAAGTAAACTCTTTAACATAATCCAATTGAGCTCGAGATTACCAGGAATGACCTGATTGGGTTGATGTTCTAGTAAACATAGTCTATGGCCATAGTTCTTGAAGTGAAGTGGAAGTGAGAGATCTGAGAGATTATATTGATTCGACCCACAAGATTTGAGAGATCAAAGGGATTCAAGAGACTGGACAGATCAGATTGATATGAACTATATTATTGTACAAATAAATCTGATTGGTTTAATGCGTTTTATTAGGTTTAATCAGTTTTTAATTGGTTTGATCAGTTTTTTGTAGTTTTTCAGAACTTTTAATCTTTGTTTCTTTCTTTATTTTGGAAGGGTGTTGTGCAGAAACAAAATAACACACCTAAAACAAAAGGCCTTGAGTGGTTTGAATGATCTCTGCCATCTGTCTCTTATACACATCTAGATGTGTATAAGAGACAGTCTCAGTTGTTTGCGGCAACATTTTCCCGCGGTATCTCCGTGGGTTACAAAAATTGTTACTGTCAACATAATCCGCTGGACCGATCTTCAAGATTCCTTTATTTTTCATGTGTAAGTTTATGTTTTATTCTGAGATGATGATATTATATTAATTACGTTATGTAGCAGATATTAGATGAGGTATCATAATGGTTGCTGTACATTTACATGTGATAAAGGCAAATTGTTAACATTGCTATAGGACTAGGCTATCTGGCAATGTGCTTCCCACACTGTCTAAAAGATAGTACAGTTCACCGCAATGAATGAATACGCTCGGCCGTTGATTGACCTAGTTTTGATATGCTACATTTATACATCTATTCATAATGCTAGTGTTGTACATACTACTGTATCACTAAGTAACTATGCCATCTTGTTTGTGATTTAGAGAGTCCTGTTATACTTATAGTTGTTTTATAAATTATATGATACGAATGGTTGTGCATGATTACACAATTTATACAGAATAGGCTTATGCTGCGCAAATAAGATATTGAGTACTTGAAGAGATTGTAACGGTAGTACTGTAATTATGCTATAACTCAACTGAGTAGTAATGGCTTAATTGTTCCTACGTAGTCTAGGAAAATGTGAATTGATTGTTTTGTGTGTAGATCCATAATGGGACAATCTGAGTTTTGTTATGTGTGATGTACTGGGATGGATAAAGTTATTCATGACGATGAGGGCGCTATTTTGATTGATTGTTTTATTGATGTTAATAGAAATTTTTCATTTTTTATTGCAGGAGAATATGGCAACCGTCCTTTTCCTTTACTGTGATTGATTGCATGTTGCTAATAAAATATTATAAAGAGCGAATAGCATTAGGCGGCTTAATGTCCACAGTCTGCAAACAGAATAGAGATCACATGGTGGTTTCAAGTATAGCGAACTGCAACATTATGTTTGTTTTCAGCGCGATGTTCCTTATTCACGCTAACCAAAGCCTTTCTTCCGACTTTCGAGCCGCGCTTGATAGAAAAGTTTAGTAAGTGCGAGCGAGCGAGAAATGTTGTAGGACGTACGTGTGATAATACTATGTATTAAATCAAAGACACACGCCATAATATGTATTACTACTGCAAATGATCAAAGTTACAGATATTTATATAAATTTTATACCAGTCATTGAAAGTAGGGTGAACAATGACAATTTAGTTCAGGTATTTAACGATAGTAGTAAGAATTTTCTACGATCGCTACCGATAGCACTGTAAACAAATAGCGCCCTCACTTACCATTAAACTTATCATCTAATTGTGCGAGATCCTAGTTACTTTATTCAAAACAATCACTTCAAACTTCTCAAGCAACTTTTATTTTATTATTTACCAGAATTTCGCTTTGACGTAAAAACTGCGTATATTTATTTATAATTATTTTTCATAGGGTACTTTCATCAACAATTTCGCCAACATCTAGGCCTAAGCCCGAGTTATACTGTATAAAATATAGGCTTAGACAACATAGGCCTTCTGCATGAATACACTATTATTATTGATGAATGGAGATTTTTTTCCCCTTTTTTTGTCTCGTATACTGTATCTGTATTGCATTCCACTGCTGTATTAGTGTATTTTTGTGTTTTATACTTAGTATTTTATTATAATGTTAATAAACTTGGATATCCATAACCATTATTAAATATTTTCAGATATTTTTTATTGTTCCAAAATGTAGAGAATTGATTTATCATTAGACTTTCCTCTTTATATAATTCTGTTACAATGAGCCATCAATGATATTTTTCAACTCTTCTTTCATTTTTAGCTCAAGTCAAACTAGTCATTTGATTATTCACCTGCTCTGGAATTGAAAATTGATTTTTTTTTTTGTATATAATAGTAACTATTTGTAAATCAATTTAATCTGATTTGTTTGTACTGTTTATAATACAGTATCAATTCTATCGCTATGAATTTTTAGTGTATGCTTCCAGTTTTTCGCTCTTTCAGGTTGAAATGAAATGAAATACAAAATATACTAGGTAGTTAAACTGTTTTGCAAATCATAATTTTACAGGAACTTGTACCGCGCCATCATTAAAATCGTTAAATCATTAATCAAAGCATTACATTAAATAAATCATTTAATGAAATTCTAAAATACGACTGCCATGAATATAATTGCTCCACACCAGATTATCTTGTGCTTTCGCCATACTGTAATTGCACAGGACATGATATGCAATCAAAATGCTATTACATATGTGTTTAAAGTTGGCTAATAAAGTGGTGTATCAATCTCTAAATGAGTACAAAGAGGTTGAATCAGGCAGCAAAATCCAGAGTAGCAATGTGTGCAAAAGTAGTTTTTGACGATGAAATCAGGACATATACTTATTCAGTAACATTCAGTGACATTTATTTCGTAATGGTCATAAGAAAAAACATACATATGAACAATTATATTCTTAAAATTATTAGACTATCACAGGGATCAAAACTAGAAGTAGAACTTGTCTCATATTGACCCCTAAAAAAATAGAATAGAAATAATAATAAAAATAAATAAATAAATAATGGAGAAAAATAATTAGTGTTAGCGCAAATCAATCAGAAGACCTGTACTTAGATAAATATATTGTTTTCATGTAACTTTTAAATGCTTTCGGGGATTTACAATTTATAATAATATCTTTATCTAGGTTATTCCATATGGTGGGACCTGAAAATGTAATTAAAAATTGACTCTTAGTAAGTTTAACAAAAGGGACTTTTATATATAATATTTTTATATGTAATATATTTGGATTTCTAATACTGTAAGAATGAGATATTACACGGTTAGAGAAAAGCAATGCGATTGATACAGGTACTAAATTATTCACATATTGAAACATAAAATAAGTAATCTGGAGTTTATGAAGGTCACTAATTTTTAAGATGTTAAGTTTTTTAAATAGAGGTTCAGATGCAGTTTTAAATGGTGAAGATGTAACTAACTGAACAACCAATTTTTGTAATATAAGAATTCTTAAATTCGAGGGATAGTCTGCGGCCCAAATGATGTTGCAATATAATAAATGGGGCAAAATAAACGAATTGTATAAAGAAACTAAAAAACTTAGAGGAAAGAAATGTTTCAGTTTGCTAATTATAGCAATGTATTTTGAGATTTGATTTGCTACACTTTGTTGATGGCTAGACCAATTTAAGTTCTCATGAACTAAAACACCAAGAAATGATACTTCACTTTTTCTATCAAGCCGTTTGCCATTTAGAAAAACATCACATATTTTGGGTTTAAGTTTATGACGAACACCACGGCTGTAAAATATAATGAAATTTGTTTTAGTTGTGTTAATTAATCATTTATTTGTAATGAACCAATCGCTAATCTTGCTTAATTAAGAATTAAATGTGTTAAACAATAAATCAAAGTTATTGCTGCGAAGCAGCCAATTCATATTCTTGACAGCAATTTGACCTCTGAAAGGTCATTGTTTGTCAAAAAACGAGTGGTTAAGAGGACTGAAAAGCGGAGTTTCCTTCTTTCGTTCTGCCGGGTAAAATCAATTACTTTAGGCAACGTTTGTAGACTAACCTACTCGTACCAACGTCCGCATGTC